TCTTTTTTTTAATCGTTGTCATTTGGAAATGAGATCGCACATAAGTATGAATCGACATCGCGATTTTCTAACGATTAATCGTGCAGCCCTAATTAAGACTTTTCAGTCGGGATTGAAAAGTGTTAATAGTGAGCGATGCCATTTCCCCATCGTCATATTTGACTCAGAGACAAGAGGCTGTCATCAATCTTCTTCTAAAATTCACTCTCTCCTGTTGTCTCTCTAACTCTGGTGAGTTAACATTTGGGTCAGAAATGAAACTGGCTCTAATCTCGCCTCCTTTTTTTCAGGATACAAGAGTTCAAAGTTGCCTTGGCTGAAGAAAAAATCAACTTGAAGACACTGAGGGAGCTGTGCTTTAATGGTAACTGGATTTTTTGAAGGGGTGGGACTGATAATGTAATAGTACAATATTCTGTTAAGCTTTACTGACGGAACCTTTCTTTATTTAATGCAGGAATCCCTTTTGAAGGAGGCATACGAGCGCTGTGCTGGAAGGTGAGTCGCCCTGCCTCATGGGTCCATTTTAGCTTTAGCTGGTTGTAATTGTATAAACTGGCGTCTCACTTTACATTCAAAAACATACCAGCAGACTCAAAGGTGTACTTTGAGGAAATGTCTCCAATACTTTATTACCTCATACTGTGAAAAGATGATCTAAGAGTTTCACTAATAGCTGCTGATCTGTTGTCTGCACTTTCTTTTTAATACTACAGCTTGTGTCTACATCCCTGCTGACACATGACACTTCCAACACTCCCACCACATGAGACCAAACTACAGACTGTATATAAAAGCTGGACATAGCCTCAGTGATGTCACCCAGTGGTTTTGGAGTGTGCAAGGAGCTTTGATCTGTTTGTAGGAGTGAAACAGCTTTAATTATGTTTTTAACACAGAGCGTCGTTCTTCTTGTGTTTTGTTTACCTCCTTCTCAGATCCTTCTTAATTACCTACCTGTTGATCAGACCCAGTGGGAGTCTTTCCTGAAAAAGCAAAGGTAAGTGGATCAGTTTAAAGCCCGATCAAAGAGCTGGTGCTTTGATTTTATTTAGGAGAACCCTTGTTTTGTGTCAGCTGCTCTGAGTCTGACTCACAAAACCTGATGCTGCTTATTATGATGCATTATGGTTGAAGTCGCAGCTCTGTTGTGGTTTCCTCTGTTTCACATGAGAGCACTGAGACCCAGTTTGGTCTTAACCACTCTTTCCTTCTACTGGGGAAATCAGTGAAATCTAAGAGTGTTGAAAAAGGACATTTTTAGTAAATGAATATGCAGCCTAAAGAAGATTGTCTTTTCCACCTCTGATTATTTAGATTTAGCAGTAAGTCTGCTCTGTGAGCTTCCCGATGTTCCATGTGCATAGATGGAAAGCTGGAGGCTTCTCGATTCTTATTCACTTTAAATGTGCCGAACTCACGAGTGGCCACACTACACTGTGGTTCTTTTGCTTTGTTTTGTGAATGCTGCTTAATTTGAAAAGATGAGTCAACCTAATTTTAAATGCTGCGGCTCAGTTGAGTAGTTCTTAAACTTTTTGCTTCACTTCAGTAGCTGGAAAAGGACACACAAGTTTTATCAGTCATCAGCAATCCAAATACAAGGACCCAAAGTAATCTTAAAACTTTTGGCCAGAGGGGCCGATGGCGCGATATGGCAG